TATATATATATAGGATTTCAAAAGTAAAAAAAGAAAACAAAACTGTGAGAGAAAGTCAGTCGCTTACTGTTTGTTCTATGAGGTAAATAGAGTTTATTTTAAAGTCATAATTTGCATCCAGTTGAAAAAATGCAATTCCAAATGCCAATTCTATATTATAAATCAGTATAAATCATGGAACTTTATTAAATTACCTAATGAGTCTTGTTTCCAAATTACTGAGCATATCTGCAACAACATTATCACCTTTGGTGAGAGCATAGAGAGTAAATAATGTTTTTTTTAAATTCTGGTCATACATTCTCTACTCCCAGGTGAAGAGAGAGCGGCTCATTATGGAGCCAAAGGGATCAGTGATGTCACCCGACGACACACCAATGCCTCGAAGGAGTCTGGGCTCCGACTCTGGTCTACATTATGGCTCCTTTGTTAACAGCCTTGCATCACTTACACCAAAGGCAGGGGAGAAACCAGCCGTGTCCCCTAGGCATGCCTATATAGGTGTAGCTGTGCTTTGTTATATCAACTTGCTCAACTACATGGAACGTTACACAATAGCAGGTGAGATGACTTCTTGTGCAAGCATGACAATGCTAGCTGTCAACAAACACTTGTTTTTACAACAATCATTGTTTTTAATGTGATGCAGGTGTACTTTCAACCCTTCAGACATTCTTTGATATAAATGATAGTACAGCTGGATCTCTGCAAACAGGTACAATAATGCCTCTCCTTGACAGACACACACACACATCTCATTTAAAACTCTTAAGAAATCTCACACATACTGTGAGTTGAAGATCCTCTTTTACCCTGTGTTACCTTAAGCTGAAATGAGGCAACAAGTGCGGCACGTGAATTACAAAGCACTGTTGGTTATTGCAAGACACAAGTGCGACAAACTGAGACTTTGTGGTTCCAAATTAGAGATTTCAGCTTTAATACCCTATTGTTTCATGTTCTTGCAGAGGGTTTATAAGTTTCCTGAGTGAGTTTTTTTTCTTCATTCAAAGTAAATGATTGAGTTCACCCATCACACTATAAGGAAGAAATTGATTCTTATTAATGCACTTACAGTTTTCATCTGCAGCTTCTTACTATTGGCCCCTTTATTTGGTTACCTTGGTGACCGCTACAACCGGAAATACATCATGATTGGTGGTCTGAGTGTGTGGCTTGTGACTTCAGTCGGAAGCTCTTTTGTCACTAAGTCGGTAAGTGAAAAATAGATGTCTTCACACATACTTCACCAGAAAGAAAAAATAAGAAGCAGCAAAATCACATCATGTCACCTCCTGCTGCTGTTAGTTCATTTTTCTTCCTCTATAGTTATCATGCGTTCACTTATCACACAGAAATACTGTGTGATAAGTGCAGAAAATATTACACAGGAAACAATTCAGTGCAGAAAATATTACACAGGAAACAAAACACATGTCAAACATTTGACATGAATATTAGGGCTTGTTGATTAGTTGTAGTGTTCTTTGCTATTCAAAGATGATGCTTGTGGTATTTGGGATTGAACTGTGTTGAAACCCTTCTTTGGTCTTGTCTTGATCTTGTTAGTATTTCTGGCTTCTCGTGCTGTTGCGAGCCCTTGTTGGGATAGGAGAGGCCAGCTACTCTACACTTGCTCCCACTATCATTGGGGACCTCTTTATTGGGGGTAAACGGAGCATCATGGTCTGTGTGTTCTACATCTTTATCCCTGTCGGAAGGTTAGAAACAAACTTTTTTTTGCATGTTTTGACCTATTAACCACAAACCATGTTCTGCTGTACTGTGCAACTGAAAGCATGGACTGTTCTGACATGGTTGAGGGTGAGCTAAAAAAACAAACAAAAAAAAAACAATGCATTTGCAAACAAATAAGGTGAAATCTGTGACTTTGTCCTTGATGCTTTTGTATCACATGTGTCAGACTTTGGAAGTACCAGGTTCAATGCTGCACTTAAACTCAGACAACAATATGGGCTGTAGGGTGAATCAATTACAATCCAAATAATGCTCCTTTGCAAAGTTCAGTAGTAGCAGCAGTAGTAAAATCAACATAGAAAGATCTTTTTTTTAAACACTACAGGAGTAATATTTTGTATTTTTTAAGCTTATCTGCTTATTTTGTGTGTTTTCAGTGGTCTTGGATACATAACAGGGGCAGGGTGTGCTACTCTCACAGGGGACTGGCGCTGGGGTCTCAGGGTGAGATAATTTTTATTAGTAGCAATGTAAAAGTTTGTAAAAGTGATTGATATAGAGTGGCAGATTTCTTACCATTTTTCTGTGTTTCAGATCACTCCTCTCCTGGGTGTAGTGGGACTTATCTTGCTGGTCTTCTTATGCCCTAATCCACCCAGAGGTGCTGCAGAAACCCAGGGAGAAGGAGTCACAGGACAGAGTTCTTACCTGGAGGATGTCATGTATCTTCTGAGAAAGTAGGACATGGAAATGAGTACTGAAGTCATTACAGATATTCATTGAGAAAATCAGATACAATATATTCTTTTTCTTTTACAAAAACATTAAATATTGGCAAGGATCCTTAAATTAGGTTATTAGCAGCACATTTACAGTTGAATAATAAACTTGTTGGTGATCTCTGGTGGACAAGCTAGGTAATGTCTATGGCTACTGTATGTCTATCCATCCATCCATCCATCCATTATCTACACCACTTGTCCTGAATAGGGTCGCCGGGGGCTAGAGCCAATCCCAGCTGACACTGGGCAAGAGGCAGAGTACACCCTGGACTGGTCGCCAGTCTATCACAAGGCTGACATGTAGACAAACAACCACACACACCCACACTCACTACTATGGGCACAAATCAACCTAAGCTGCATGTCTTTGGATTGTGGGAGGAAACTGGAGTTACGGCTATATCTATATGTCTAAATAATTTTGTGCCTATATTTTTGGCATTTCTATACAGCAATTTTTATTTAAACATATTGGTTACCAATATATCTGCAATAAGCTAAGCCGATCTATCAATCAGGCTCTAATTATACCAAAGGTGAAATGTCATTAGCACTGTACTTAAGTACAATTTTGAGGTATCTGTACTTTACTTGAGTATTTTCATTTTCTGCTACTTCACAGTTTGACTTCACTACATTTTATAGAAAAAAATAGTACTAAATTTATTTGATCACTTTAGTTACTAGTTACTTTTTAGACTGAGATTAATTCAACAAAACACAGTATAATCATAAGACTTTATTAATCCCTGGTGGGAAATTCACAAGCTACCCAGCAGTATGTAAAGTACTTCAAATTATAAGCATATAAGATGGTTAACATTAGCTCTACCTTTACCAGCTGTAAAATTATATTTGATGTACACAATAAAACATCAATAATTATAGTCCAATAATATGATATACTGTACATTATTGTGACCCGTGCCATTCTGCATAATGAGTACTTTTACCTTTGGTACTTTAAGTATATTTTATGCTAATATTTATGTACTTTTACTTAAGTAATATTTTGAATGGAGGACTTATCAGAGTATTTTTACACTGTGGTATTGCTACTTTACTTTAAGTAAACAATCTGAGTACTTCTACCACCACTAATTAATACTGCAGTACTTTGCATTATTAGGGCAATGATGTTTAGTGGGATATGATTTTTGGATTAATATTTACAAATCTTGCTGTTTTGTTTTTCTGACTGTAGTAAAAGTTATGTATTGTCATCACTTGGAGTGACAGCTCTGGCTTTCCTTACCGGAGCCCTGGCTTTCTGGATGCCTACTTTTCTGTCCAGAGCTCAGGTCGCTCAGGGACTCCTATCGCCATGCACCAAAGAGCCCTGCGACCCCACAGCCAGGTGCAGCTTGACCTTTGACCTGCATCACCTTTATTTACCTAATTTCCTTCAAAAATGCTACAGACTTTTAAGAATGCTGTGTTCCTCTCCTCCTTGTACAGTTTAATCTTTGGTGCTGTGACTGTAGTGACAGGCATTGTGGGAGGAGGTCTTGGCACCGGATTATCCAGATGGTTTAGGGACAAGGTATCCAATGCGGACCCGCTCATCTGTGCAGCAGGCATGCTCGGATCAGTCCCATGCCTCTTTATTACCATCTTTGTGGCATCAGCAAGCATTCCAGCCACTTATGTAAGAGATGAACTTCTGTTCTTGATGGTCCAATAACTAAATGATCATTTTTATGTATGATAGTAAAGTTGATTTGTCTGTCAGTCAGTCACTTTAGTCCAGACTGAAATAGTTCAACTACTTGATGGATTGCTGTGAAATTTAGTACAGACAGTTGTGGTCCCCAGAGAAAGAATTCTTCTGAATTGGGTGGGCCCCCTCAATTTACCTCTAGCTCCACCATGATATTCATATGTTTGGTTTTTATTGAAATACCATGAAATCTGGTACACACTTTCATGTCTCCCTCATATAAATAACTTAGATTGCTAAACTTTCAGTATGTCCTCATCAAATCAAATCAAAGTTTTTGAATATTAGTCATATGTTTAGTGCTAATTATCAAATGTTAGCATGCTAAATAGCAAAATTAAGATGATGAAAATAGTCTTTAAACACCAAAATATTAGCATAGTCAATAGGAGCATGTTAGCATGCATTTATCTCAAATCATCACTGTGCTGAAGTAAAACTCCACAGAGCTGCTAGCATGACCATTAATCTTGTTTCAATCAGTACTATGTGAATTAGATGATATGGACTTACCTGCCCATTTGGTAACCAGTCACTACTACTGTAAATACAACTTGATTCGGTTAGTCTTGTTTTGCAGTAAGGATTGTGTTATCTGGATGTGTCACAATTTCTACATTGAGTGCACATAATGAAGTGAGAACTTAGCTTTAGTGAAGAAACTACACCATTTGGAGACATTTTGAATTTATTCCTGTAGAGTTGTGTTGCAAATAATTGATGGTGTCACCTAAAATGTCCAGATGAGCAAAAGGTAATGTGAATAACGTGGCACCAAAGAATTGCAAAATCATTGACATTTAGTGTGACAGCCGTGGCAACTGGCCTGAATATGTTGCTCACAGCTGCAACAAAATAAGAATAAGTTAACGTCAAAAAATGTAAAACAAGAGACATACATAGAAAATCTAAATCAAGCTCTTAACCTACTAATAGATTCTTTAATAAATGATTAGTTATCAGTTGCTTACTGGGTATCTTAAATGTCTCATTTCAGGTATTCATTTTCCTAGGTGAATTACTGTTATCACTGAACTGGGCTGTCTTGGCTGATATACTGCTGGTGAGTTTAAATGGTGCATTTGGGAATAAAAATATGAAATTGTCTGCTGAAATTTGAAGCCAACAGGTTTTGTGTTGCTGTTTACTTCAGTATGTGGTTGTACCAACCAGAAGGGCCACAGCTGAAGCTCTCCAGATTACATTTGGTCATCTCCTGGGTGATGCTGGGAGTCCTTACCTATTAGGAGTGGTAAGAAATAGTTTCACTTTCCCAGTCAACTTCCTATAAATTGTTCCGTTTCATCAAGCGTGCTTCTGTGAGACTGGAGTAAACCACTTCTTCTGTGTATCACTGAGCACAAATCCTGTTTTCACCAATAGATCTCTGATGCTATAGGGGATTCTAAACCTGCAACCCATCACTGGAGCTTCCACAGTCTGAAGTACAGCCTCCTGGTTTGCCCATTTGTCGGGATCCTGGGTGGACTGTTTTTCCTCATAACTTCCCTTTACATTACTGAAGACAGGAAGGCAGTTCAGAGATCACTTGGAGGTACTAGAAATGAATGGTTACCGTAATTCTCATCTGAACAACCAAAAAATTTAAATTACAGCAGAGGCACAGCTCTGAAAATTCAACTATCATCAGCTGAGAATGTTTCATTTGGTATTTCTGTGCAGGATTGTTGTGTGTGGACAGCCAGGCACATGATTAAGTCCTTACCATTTTGTGTTTGTTAGCGGACAGTGTAGCACACATGCTGGAGTGTCCAAACCTTCCTGGACAACAGTTCTGTTCTAAAAGATACATTAGCTCTTATGCAGTTAAATACAAATTCCCCTTATCTACACACATGGCCTACTAACACACTGGCAGTTTAGCTTTTTGGCACCTCAAAGGGAGAGCTGGACCAAAGCTGGTAAAGAGATCTGAGCTGACATTTTTGTCATTCTGTTGGATTGTTGATGTATGAGCCAATTGCACAATCAGGGCAACTTAGATAGCATCACCTTGATAGATGATAGATGAGAGCTAGTCTAACCATGCCCTGCTGCAGCTTGAATGTGTATATCTGTGTGTATTTCCGCACGAGCGAGATGCTGCCGATCATGTTGTGGGTGAACTCGATTAAACAGCCAGACGAGGATTCGTGAATAACTGTCTCTTTATTAAGAGCACTAACGCTGAACAAAAACGAGACAAGGCATGGTGAAAACATGAAACACAACTTACAGGCTGGTACAACAGTCCATGGTCAGAGCCAGCAAACACATACATCCAAGGAATCCACAGTTCGTAGTCCAAAAGAGAAGTCCAATAATTCATACACAGGGAAGCAGTCCGAAACAGGAGGGCGAGGCAGAACAGAATTGTCAAAGTACACAATCCGGGTCAAAACACAACATACCAAAACCAAAAAATACGCTGGAGAGTCAGAGTTGGAGGCCAGAACAATCTGGCAAGTAACTGGTGGGGGAAGGCTGCTTATAATGTCGTGAAAACCAGGTGCAAACAATCAAGAGCAGGTGAAACTAATGTGAGTGATGATTAAAGTAAAAAGACCGAAACTGTGGTGAAACAAAAACAGGAAGTAACGTGAAAATAAAAGCACGACGGGAAGCAATGGAACCGAATCATGACAGGTAATGGGTGTTCCCTGTTTTAACGTGTTTTCTGTGTTTGTGTGTGTGTGTATGTATATAATGTAAAAATATATAATTTTTCCAGACGATCCTGTACCACAGCAGGGTCCTGCACCTGAGCCTGCCATGGAACTGAACAACAGGAGTAATGAGTAAAGCTGCAATTGATCTCAGCAACTATTTAACAAATTTATCTGTGAATATTTAAAGTTAAGTTAAAAACTACTGGTGTTGAGAAAAAGATGTGAGTGCTGACCTAAAAGGATCCTTTGTTTATCCCTTCACAGCCACACAGTGATGACAGATACTGAGAAAAATTAATAATTCACACTCTCAGACCATTATCAAAGCGTTTGCCTGTTCACTGAGGCCTATGAGTGTATTGTCTAAGTGTATGTTTGCATAGCACAGAATTAAAAATCTTTTTACATCAAAGAGACTTAAAATCTGTACTGCATCCAATGTCAACAAATAAACTCAACTCAAACATTGATACTTTAACAGTATTTTTAAAAAAGAAAGTGCAAACTTTCAGTGTAATTTCATATGTAAGCAGGATACTATCTGTCCTGTTAACATCATTACAATATTGCCTCCCATTCAGGGGAATTGTGCGGTATACTTGAACATTTAATTCTCATATTTTATGTATGGAAATGTTGTTTTTAACTTTTCAATCAATTTGCAAGCAAACATTTTACTTATCATCCCCTCCCACTCCGATTCCACAATCTTTCTATAAAACAAATGACCAAAATATTATGGATTGTAAGTGTGCTGAGCTGTCAACCCACTGTGAGCAGTCTGGGCACCGTACACTGTCAGTACACTGCTGTACTGACATCGCCACACACTCCCAATGATCACATACAGCAACCTAATGTGGAGCCACTGGCTCCACTCAGTCTGAACCAAGCAATTTTTGCACAGTATACTATAAATCCGGCAGTGCTGTTTCTTCTCCAAACATCCTTGATCTCTTTGAAGCCATGAAATCAGTTTGTATTCATACACCTTTGCTTTATTTTCTAGTTTGGTCCATTGTTAGAAAGAGTCCTATTAACTTTTGTTTTAACTTCTGGTTCTGGGTATATCCTTTAGGGGGCAGTTGTGTATAAGGAACAGCTCACATTAATTTAACAACTCAGATGTAGACATACTAGAGTTGAAAGTGTTGCTACTCTTCCACTACAAAAGAAAAAAATGTTTTATTTGAAATAAGTTAAAACTGACCAAAGTAACTGACATCGACTGTTATCAAGTCAATATTCAATATAACAGACATATTACATTTTATTTTCTGGGCAATATGTTCTTTTAAATAATACAACAAGCAGCAACAGTGGCATGGACAAAAACACTGAGACCTTTAACCTGATGTAATGTACTATACATTTGATGCAGTCACTGCAATCAAGCACTTTTTGTAGCTCTTAATATGACTTGGACATGTTTCAACTGGTAGTTTTGCTTCAAATCGAATCTAATTTTATTTGTATAGCACCAAATCACAACAAAACAGGACACTTTACAAAGTAAGGTCTAGACCTTACTATTATCACTATTATTACAGAGGGAAAACCCAACAAATCCCCCTTGAGCAAGCACTTGGTGACAGTGGGGAGGAAAAACTCCCTTTAACGGAAGAAACCTCCGACAGACCCCGGCTCTTGGTGGGCGGCCTTCTGCCTGGACCGGTTGGGGTGAGTGGATAGAGGAGAGACAAAAGAAGAAAAGCAACAAGACACAACAATCAAACACTGATCAGGTCGATGTGGCTGGTGACTGCTCGTCAGAGA